TGGGTATACGTGTCTGCAACGGTGTTGACCACGTGCACTTGGATAAATTTCATCTTCTTTTTCCCGGCTATCACGCTCTGGGCTATCACGCCCGTGTCCACACATATCCACCGGCTATCACGCTGCCAGGCTGTCACGTCTCTAGGCTATCACGCCATCACAACAGCTATCATAGCACCAGCTTCAACAGATCAGAGCCATCACGCTCCGGAACATCACAGATGCGGCGGGTTACCACATCCGCGGGCAGTTTACTGTATTTTATCGTTGCCGGCAAACTCGCCGCGCGGTTCTTTTATTTTTGCCGTCTACAACTGCGCCGGGCGCACCAAGCTACTCAACAGATGAGACGAACACTCTTACATTTCGTTGGTCAGCCGATAATAGCAACACACAAGCGTATTGTGGTCCTGCGAACTTTTCCAATTTGTCAGCGGGAAAAAGCACAGTCGATGTATCCGCACAATACGCACACGCGCCTACCGGTTTCGGTATCTGAAGGCCGACCTCCCCAAGGAACATCCATAGAATTAGACGAGCCAAGACCCACGATCAATCCTCCGGAGAGCAAATCCATCCCCTATTTAGCCCTGAACGTCTGACCGACGTCAAAAGTCTAGCCGCTCCAGTGTGTTGGTTCGCGGTGTGGTTATGGTGTTCTTGGACCTCTGGCGGACGACGGTAGGTCAAAAAGACCCGCGATCATCATACTGCCCTCCTCTCCACATTACAGTTACTGTATTTGGGCCGCGTGGCACTTCGTAATGGCGTTGTGGAGGGTTAATCAAGAGGCGGTCTCCTCAGCACGCACTCGTCAACCGTTTTCGAACCAACGAGGAGCCCTCATGGGCTTCGGAGTCGTCCCCCGATCGACTTAAAGGTTTTTAGGACTGAAGTGTAATATTATCTTGATCGCAATCCCGCAAGGTTTGAAACAAGTGGTATTCGTTCTCTGCCACAAGGTTTCCTACCCGAGACAATTCGGAACGGCCGTGACCCATTTCTCCACAGATGAAGGGAATGTTGGCATGCCCTGGCACAGACCCTGCTTTGGAAGCGTAGCGTCGGTCCAAAGATAGATGTGGTTGGTCGTTGCAGATGAAAGCACGCACTGCGTGGACAAGAGCTCGCAGTAGCCACTCTCAGCTGCTCCGCCGCGGTTGTGAAGAGTGATGTGGGTACAGAGCACACACCAACCGTGACGTCCACACAAAAGGATCATCACCGGCAAAATGAACCTGCCTCACTACCGATGCGAGCGGGTGACCGTCAAAGAATGGGTAAACGGCAAGGAACGAATAATGTGAAGCGCCTTCCCACCGCCGCTGGTCGTCTTCTCAGGAACAACATGCACAGTGGGAAAGTAGCGTCTGCTTCAGAGTAGCCTACCCACCTAACGGGCGTCGGAGCAGTTATTTTCTCACAATCCAACAAAAACATGTGGATATCGATCATTTTCGGGTGTACGCAAAATTTCGTTTGGATTTCACCCTTCACGTCAACGAGGGACCGGAACGGCTGAATCCTTCTTGCGAAAAATCTTCTAGCGGTGCTGGAGGAGGGCCAAGGAAAAACTCGGGCAGTGTGGCTTCCTCCTCTCCGAACCCGTCTGGTGCGTCCAGAATTTGTACCCAAAGGTTGAAGCACGTCCGGAAGTAATTGGATGATAACCAAGCAGTCTCGGTGCTACAGTACGTGCGAAGGTTCACAATAATCTGCTTCAGTGCGTGCGACTCTTCACGATAATTTTCTCTTCCGGATTGAACGGTACTTCGAATTAAACTCTCTTTCGATCTGCTGATCCTTTGTGATGATTCGGGGAGTACGATAAGGCAGTTCGATCCTAGCAATGTGTCGACCTTGTACACCTTGTTTACGGACACCGATACCAGGAAAGAGAGAGTTTCTCAAAGATACCCTCCCGCAACCCAACGAAACCCTTCGTTTCGTGGATCAACAACTACCAAACGTACTTGACAGCACGTTACACGGGGGACAACGAAAGCACCGTCAAGGTGGCCCGACATTCTACTCAATGACATGCATGCATGTACCAGAAAACCTGGCCAGACCTCACGACAATCTTGGAGATCCGCTGATGATTGAGTCCTTCGCCAACCATGACTAACGAGAGAAAATCGCGCGCTCATCATGACCAAGGTGGACGAGGGCAGCAATCGAAACCAGCAAATACCGCTCGAAGGCATCGGTCTACAATACGGTAGTGCTCCACAGGAAACCGAGTTACTGTAGTTTTGCATCAAACTCAGCTAAACTGTACGCGGAAAGTAAAATCCCGCTTTCTCTCTTACTGTGGGCACGGCGGCAGCAGAAATGCTACACTAAGGCGACTTCCACCGTACCACGAAGGGGATGTACATGGAATAAACCTGAGCGTTCGGTCTCAAACGTCACCTGCTCGTTAACATGACCCTCAACCGACAGTAGAGGCGGGCGAAAGAACAAAGAACGAAGTTCGTGCTTGGAAAAAGAAAACAACAGGGCAGACCATGGACGGAGCTCCTTTGACCGCACTGCGCCAGGATAGAGCATCTTCATCGGGGTACACGAACTGGGAGAGGGCAGTACCCTAAAAAAAATCGTCATACCACGGGAAGCCAATGGCGGACAGAGGGGTGTGGGAGAAACCCGGTGGTGGCTAAGGCAAAGGCCGAAAAGAACAATAGCTTGGGGGGTACGTCGGGTGCGTGATAAACGCCTTTACCCATCTACGGAAATGCTAAATACGACACCGGTGTCGTAAATCCTTTACTACGACACCATCCCGATCTCAGCCCAGAGGGCTCCATTCATGGAGTAACACTAGATTCGTTGGAAAGCAACGGCTCTAAGCTATCTCGCAAACTTTGTTTCAGCTACATCTGTCTCGTGGTTGCGGAGATATGGCCGGATACCCACGGTGTGATGCATGACACCGAGGAAAGCCAAGGCTCTCAGCTACCTCGCAAACTTTGTTTCAGCTACATCTGCCTCGTGGTTGCGGAGATATGGCCGGAAACAAAGTTTGCGAGGTAGCTGAGAGCCGTGGCTTTCCAACGAATCTAGTGTTATGCCATGAATGGAGTCCTCTGGGCTGAAATCGGGATGGTGTCGTAGTTAAGGATTTACGACACCGGTGTCGTATTTAGCATTTATATTTTATTTGAGAAAGTGGCGAACCAGTTACAAATCGGTGCTGAAATTCCCTTTCGTGGTGACCCACACGCGTACATGAAGCCACCACTTTCCCACTTTACCGACCACCTTCCTGCTTCCCATAGAGCCGCACTACCTCGTAAATATTGTGTTTTTCTCGCCAGCCCGGGCCAGTGACAAACGTACTGATGCAGATTCGTGCGCACGTGCGCACGTGCGCATGGAAAACTTGCTCTCCGGTTGACAGTGGCAACAGATGAAAGCAAAGGTGTACGAGGGCGAGACGCTGAAACCACAAACACCCATCGCTTTTCCCTCGCCAGGGTGCTTGGTTGTTTACAAGTCGCTGTCGTCCCATTCCGAGGTGCGGTAATCAGGGTCGTCCCAACACACGGCGCAGTCCTCGGGGAGCAACGCCACGACGTCAACTTCGCTCCCTGGCACGAACGACACAGGTCATATGATTGCCGGCAGGCTTCAATCAAGTCAACCACGTTCATTCTACAATTCCCAGAGCCTCCGCGGGCTGAGATGTGTACGCTGACGAACCGAACCACCGCCTACTTCGGATCGTATTGACTGTGTCATTCGCTCGCTTATGTTTCATCGTATGTTGTTTTCCCCGGCATGCTGTCTTTGTCTAGAGCATGTCCCGAACAAAAAGCTTTCCGCACGGTTGCACCGGGTAGGTCTGGGGAAGAGGCCAAGGTATACGGTATGATTGATATCAATGAGCATCGTTATTTCCCTGCCACGATTTGAGAAAGCATGAAAGCGGCCCTGGTGAGGAAACAAAACAGTCGGTGAGCTTGCAACGATTGCAGTATTTATTGCTGAAGTCATTACTATAGTCGGTAGACGTACTCCCTAACCTACCGTTTCAGCGGCAGAGGAGAGTAGGTAGAGCTTGCGCGCAAAGGACCGCACAGCACCAAAACGAAATGCGTGTGTTAGATATACTCGAAGCAGTATCTGGTCGTGAGGATCCCAGGGGGATACGTGTTGGGAGTTCCGTGTGTTGAAGGGTACCACCGGCGCAGTCACGGGGACCCTTTGGGTGTGGTCGGTGCGATGATGAGGCTTGCGTGCGTGCTGCGCACTTCTTCCCTCTCTCTTCTCCCACTCTCTCTCCAACTCTCTCTCAACCTCTCTCTCTCGGCCTAACACGGCCGACTACCCAGTGCCCGAAAGTAACGTCCAGAACGTGCTTGCTGCACCCCGCGTAGTTTACCTTTCACAGTGCTGATATCACGGTATCTGCGCGCGGGCGTAGCCTTCCGGGGGTTGTGTAGTCACGCGCAATCGGTAGACTCCCACAACAACATAAACCATGGAGGGCATCGACCTCTCCACCCTTTGCGAAAAGAGCTACAGCGAAAAGTGGAGGAAATCGTCCAGCAACGAGTACAAGCCGAACTTGAAGCCAACAGGATCAACGAGGGTGAAGTCACCTACGCCCAACCACCATCATCCGGCAACCCAGTCCCGCCTACCGACAGCCAGCCATCACCCTCCAGCCAGGGTAAAACAGCTACCTTCAACGACCCCAGCAGCGTCGCACACATCGTGGCGCCCGCGGCCAAGGTGACAGCTGAGGCCATCGCTGAACAACAGGGCTTTGCCCGCTCAGGCACGTTCCGTGTCAATCCCGGCTCAGAAATAGAACCGTGGCTTGGTAGCGTGAAGAATGCGCAGGATTTGTATATTTTGTTTGATATTTTTCGCAGTAAGATGATTTCATATTATTCAGGAGGAGGGTGTGCATGATGCGTTGGAACTGGAGGTCGAGGTCAAGGTCGATAAGAGGGGTGTGAATATAGGAGACCTTCGGAGACTTTTTGGGAATGATGTGGTAGACAAGTCGTTCAAACTGTGGAATATACTGATTAGCAAGGTTTTGTATCCCCCGATTCAGAGCTTGATTCTGGCGTGTGAGAGTCCCCAAAAGGGCTGGAATATCGTAACAGAATTCTATCAGGAGAAAAAGCAGTCACAAAAGTCGAGGTTGGAGCAGGACTGGAAGGAGTTGGAGATGAGAGAGTCCGAGAGTCCACAGGATTACATTGCCCGCTCAGAGGCCCTTCGCCTGCGTCTCGCATCTGGAGGCACAATTAAGGATGAAACAGATGCCAACAAAGACATTGCTCGTGGTNCAGGCGAGCGTCGGTGCCGCGGGGGCCGGGAGCGAGGGCGTCCAAGCCTCTCGGGCGTGTTCACCTGGACCTGTGTGGACCGCTGGTGCCTTCCCTGGGCGGCAACCTCTACCTGTTCGTCGCCGTGGACAGCGCCTCGCGGTGGAACAAAGTCTACGGTCTCCGGCGGAAGTCCGACGCGCTGGCGGCAACGGAAAGGCTGCTGGCGGACGTGGGGCGGTACGACCTCGGACGCATTGAGTGTTTCCGCGTCGACAACGGCACCGAGTGGACCTGCGGTGACTTCCGGCGCTTCTGCGACGACAACGGTNGCATCCGGGGGTCAAGACGGCGGTCAGGCAGCAGCTGGCGGCCAAAATCGCAACGGAAAGGCTGCTGGCGGACGTGGGGCGGTACGACCTCGGACGCATTGAGTGTTTCCGCGTCGACAACGGCACCGAGTGGACCTGCGGTGACTTCCGGCGCTTCTGCGACGACAACGGTATCGGCGTCGAGTTCACACCTCCTGGCGTTCCGCAGTACAACGGCGTCGTCGAGAGCGCCATCTGGCGCATCATGGAGGCCGGCATGGCCGCTGCCGCAGCGCTGGCCGTGTGTTCAACGTTGACTTCGCCTCCATCCCCGGCCTGGATGAGCGCGGTGACCGTCTTTGGATGGAATCGGCGAAGTGGGCCGCCGACGCTCTCAACCAGTCGGCGACCAAGGCCAACCCCGGGCGGCGCTCGCCGCACGAGATGTTCACCGGCGAGCAGGGGCCGTTCCGCGTGCTGCCGTTCTTCCAGCCCGGCTTCATGCGTGAGGATCGCCGCACCAAGGTCGACGACCAGGCCACCCTCTGCTACTACCTGAACGGCGGCGACAACCACCCGAGCGGCAGCGTCAAGGTCCTCAAGCGTCCACCGGCCGCGTCGTCTACAACAACGTGTCGTGGGTGACGTCGGCGCCCGCCGGTGAGGGGGGTTCCGCTGGTATCACCGCTGCGCCGACACCCCCCCCGTTCACGCCGCCGGTCGTCTCGATCAACTTTGGCCCAGCACCGACGCCTTCAACCGTAGCACCGCCGCCGCCAGCGCCCACGCCGTCGCCCGCTCCCGCTCCCGCTGCCTCTTCGCCCCCTGCCGCAACGCCGCCGCCAGCGACCACGCCGCCGCCCGCTCCCACGCCTTCACAACCGCCCTCTGCCACTTCGCCGTCACCGTCGGCGACCCCCGCTCCTGGCCAGCCGTCCTTTGCCTCTTCGCTGTCACCGTCGGCGACCCCAGATCCAGACCAACCGCCGCCGCCGCAGAACCCCGCGATGCCCCCGCTTCCCGCTCACGCCATGCGGCAGCTTCGCCCGGGTACAAAGGCCGAGAGTATGACAGACCCGTGGCTGCCAAGCCGTACGAGACCGGGCACAAGGCACAGCACAGGACTCATCTCGATGCTAGACAAGAATGCTCTAGTGTCGATGCTGGAGGTTCGGAGCGCGGGGGACGAGGAGCGCAGGGAGCTGGGGGGGGCGGAGGCCGGAGAGCCGGGGGGAACGGGGACCGGAGAGCAGGCGGGAGCACTCGCAGCAGTGGACCCGGGGGCTGCAGGAGCGGGCTTCCCACTCGCATTTGCCACGCTCCTCGCCAACCGGGAAGACATCGACGCCACGCTGCGAGACCAGCGCCCGCCGGAGCAACGCCCTGACCTTCCGCATTGCCAGGCCAGCGACCTTCGTGTCCCCAAGAGCTACAAAGAGGCCATGGCGTCGGAGCACCGGCACCTTTGGAGCGACTCTATGCAAAGGGAGTTTTATGGCTTGTTGGAAGCGGGGACTTTTACTCCGGCGAAGTAGCAATTAGTGGAGAACGCAATTAACGCTAAGTGGGTATTCGATTGGAAGGCAGATGAGTTTGGATGGCCCACTAAGGCTAAGTCGAGACTTGTAGCGAGAGGTGTTATGCAGAGAGAGTACATTGACTTTGGAGAGTTGTACGAAACCGTTTTTGTTTCGTTAGAATGTTGGCTGCTTTGGCGTGCGAGTTGAACCTCGATTTGTGTCATTTCGATATTGAGCAAGCTTTTGTGCGTTCGGAGTTGGAGGAAGAAGTGTATATGCGTTTGCCGCAGGGATGTGGAGCTCTATCTGGAATGATTGTAAAACTAGGCAAGAGTCTGTATGGCGTTAGACAGGCATCTAGGCAGTGGCATGCAATGCTGAAGAGGTGTTTGGTGGCGTTAGGTTTTGAGCAGTGCATGGCCGATGCTTGTGTGTTTCGTTTAATTGAGGATAGATGTGTTGTTTTGATTTTGGTAGTACATGTAGATGACATTCTTGCTGTGGGAGACAGGGAGAGATGTGACAAGTTTCGTGCCGACCTTAACAAGTCCGTGCCAGTGAAGAACCTGGGAGAGTTGAGATGGTATTCTGGGTGCTTTACGAGAGGAACAAGGAGACCGATAGGTTGACGATTTCTCAGCAGACTTTCACGGA